GTCTTGTCATTAGACTCTGATGACTGAAAGAGAGAGTGAGGCTGACAATTTTGTGTAACTCTGTCTCACTTAAATCAAATTTACCCATGAGTCAAAAATGTCTTTGATATGTTTTACAGAGATTATTTATAAATCTTTGTTTGCAATGCATTAAAACCTGTCATGACCAAAATGCTCCTCTCCGAAAATATTAATAACCAGCATTCCTATAGGTATTTAAAGTTTGTAAATTATTTTCCTAAAATAAAGCTGTGCTATATTTACTTTGGTAGCTTAATGCACATTTAAGGGAAAAAAAATTCACAAGGAGGGGAAAAAAACTACTGCCATAATCATATGATAATACCATCAGATAATACCATCAGAGTTTGAGAAAATAATTTTTACTTGGAGGGTAGAGCCAAGATGGCAGAGAAAAGGTAGGGACTCACCTGAGCTCTCCCAAATTCCTCTCCAAACAACTTTAAATAATGTCTCAAAATGAATCATGGAGTGGCAGAATCCACAAAAGGACAGGTTGAAACAACTTTGCAGCCCAAGACAATTTAGAAGGTTGGAATGAAAGGTCTGTTGCTCCAGATGGAGTGCAGTGCAGCACAGGCAACACCCTGGCAAGCCATCAGCAGGCCTTGGGGACAACTGAATTGGTGGCAGCAGCTTCCAGAGCTCTCAGCCCACAGACAGTGGGGATTAAACAACTGGTCAGAGGGAGATTACATGGTTCACTTTGTTGGCACCGGGTGTAGGACTGTGTTGCATTGCCCATATGTGAATCCAGGTTGTAATACCAAATCACAGTCCCAGGGTGAAGAGGATCTTTAGCACACCAGAGCTTGCAGTCACAGTATATAATATCATTAGAAAGGAGCAATGGAGAACTAGTAATGAATTACATTGAAGGATTGAAGTCCAAGAGTGGGCCTTAAATTATCTTTAGGCTACATATCTATAACTTGATCCTATAGGTCAATTATTGGCTGTGCTTGATTTTGTGCTGTGTATATTTGGCATCCAAAAGTAGATTTCTTTATGAGCAAAAGAAACATTGAAATACACCCCCGAACTTTCTCAGTCCTTTAATGAATTTTATAGAAACTTAGCTTTGGTATAGACCCCTATGTAGAACAGCAGAGGTTTAGCTAAAGTGAAGAGGGTTTAAATTGCCTTGCTAAAACTCCAGAGAGTGGTTGAAAAAAGAATAGTGTGTTTAAAGGCATTTATCTAGTAGAAATACTCAGTTTTATTTTAAGTTAGACTCAGGTCTTTCAACACATGCACTTACTGTTTTGGGAACAGCCTATCAATTACCAGATGTATAAAAGGAATATGGGACAAATAAAATAATAGCTAGCAGTTTAGTAGGAATGAATAATGGAATTCTGTCAGTATTCATTCAAAAGAAATCATATTTTCCATGTTTTCTAGATTGTGGCCCCAGCCACTACAGACAGGACAAACATTAATTAAAAAGACACACTAGTTAAGGAAAGGCTGGTATGTGAAATAAGTCCAGAATTTACACACCACTACTCGCTGCCAAAGATAGGATTTGAACCCAGGTCTTCTTAACTCCGTTCTAGTTGTAACTCCAAGATCTTAGCATAATAGGGTAGAGATGAAAGAAAGGCTGTTTTAAGATTCCTCTCAGTTTTACAATTAAATAATAGGAAGTCTAGAATCTGTAGTGCTATTTTAAAGAGTATTTAAAAAAACATTTTCTGGTGTTCTAAACATGATCTTAACAATTTATCTGTATTGGAAATATAATAATAGTCATACAATCTAATTGAACTTTTCACAGTGCCTGGCATAGTACTTAGCATGGTACTTAATAAATGCTTGTGATTGATTGATCTATTGATGAGAGGAAAGTAAGTAAAATTATTCTTTGGTCATATATTCTCAGTTTGCTCCCTTAAATCCATTGAGACATTGATTTGGTGAAACAGTTCATCTAAGTTCATTCGCTGTTAAATAAATATTTATGAAATTTATTCCAAGGCCAATGTATGTGACTTCTACACATTCAGCTTTCCAGTTATAGTCTGTCTTGATGACGAGCTGTAATCTAGTCAACACCTCATTGCTTGGTTAGCTTTAGTAGCTATTACCTGTTATTCATCAGTGAATCTTATAATTTTAATAGTTTAAGCTTTAATTAGAAGGCAATAAATATATGGCTGATATAAATTCCTAGAACCAATTTAAAGTGGTCTGCTATTGCTTATGTATCTGTATAGCAAATTGGTATCAAATAATTTAGTCATATAAAATAAATAATAATAATAGCTGACATTTATATAGAACTTTTAGTTTTTCAAAGAATTTTACACATATTATCTCATTTGATTCTAATAACAACCCTATGAAGTAGGTGCTATTATTCTCCCCATTTTATAGATGAAGAAACTGAGGTACAATGAGATTAAGTTACTTGTCCAGACACAGGTCTTCTGACTCCAAATCTAGTTTACTCTATACAGTAGACATCTTAAATTCAATATGTCCAAAGTGGAACTTAAAATCAGTTCCTCACTATCTCTCACTCTGTTGTCAAGCCATGTCTACATCTCCTTTGCAACTTCTCTCCTTTGACATTGCCACCACTCCAGCACAAGTCTTCATCTGCTTAGACCTGGATTATTTCAAATGCCTGCTTGTGGGTCTCCCTGTATCAAGTGTCTCTCCACTCCAATCCATCCTCCATTCAGCCACCAAAATTCTTTTCCTAAAGCATAGGTCTGATCCTGTCAGCCACACCTACCTCCCATACCCACTCCACCACACTCACACCCCTGCCTAATCAATAAACTCCAGGGACCTCCTTTTACCTTCCAGAAGCAAATACAAAATACTATGTCTGGCATTCAAAGCCCTTCATACCCTAACCCCCTCCTACCCTTCCAGTCTTCTTACACCTTTCTTCCCACTACATATTCTTAAATTCAGTGACACTGGGCTGGCTATTTCACCAATAAATTAGTCTATCTCTCAATTTGGGCATTTTCTCTGACTGTCCCCCATGCCTACAATGCTTTCCCTCTTCCTCTCTGCCTACTGACCTACCTCACTTTCTTTAAGACCCAACTAAAATCTTGTCTTTTACTGGAAACCTTGCCTAGCCCCTTTTAATTCTAATGCCTTCCCTCTGTTATTTCCTCTCTATCCTGTACATATTTCTTTGCATGTTGTCTCCCCCATTAGTTTGTCAGCTCCTTGAGGGAAGGAATTGTCTTTTGCTTCTTTTTGTATCCTTAAGTGCTTCGGCAGTATGTGCTTAATAAATGTTGATTGATTGATTAATTTTTCATTAGGTGCTTTGCAACACAGTTGATAAGATCCCTGGACTTGGAGTCAGAAAGACCTGGGTTAAAATTCTGCTTTTGGAACTTACTGTGTGACTCAGAGCAATTTCCTTAAACTTTTCTATTGAGTCATAGATGGGTTACCATTTGATGGAGAAAGTTCTCACACTATGATGGCATACATTCATGGATTTGATAAAAAAAAAAATCTTGAACCACCTTGATCAGCTAAATTGAACAAGTTTAAATTGAAATGACTATATGCTTACTTAGAATATCCATCTCCCTCCTACTAAAACTTTTTTTTTATTACACCAGTTAATTAGTAAGCAATTAGCCCATTTCTATCTATGCTCTAAAAATAAAAGGAATACATGGGCATTTCAATTCTTTGTCTCTTGTGATTTCTGAGCAAGGAAGCTAACTTAATATACCTCCTTATCTGTAATCTTCCCCAAACAGTATAATTTGAAGGATTCTTTTATTTTGGCACATTTGAATATAGCAATTCTTCATTTAAAAGGAACCTTATAAAATAGGCTACCCTTTGTGAGTTGGATCACACTGTGCTAAATAATGAGATATGGGAATACTGTGAACAGCTTGACTCCTCCTGACTATTACTTAAGAGTCTGAAGTGTTTTAAGTGAGACTGTGTCACCATTAATGAGAACTGTACAAGAGGGAAAATCACTTAAGGGCTTTGCTCTGTTTTGAGAGTTCAATAAAACTGTTGGGTTAAAGAAAATAATAATAACATCATGTTTCAACATTACCAGGACCAATCAGCATTTCAGAATACTGGTATAGGAAACAAGTTATTTAGAGTCAGAGAATGTTAGAGCTGATTGGAACTTTAGAGACCATTTTATCCAGTCCTCCAACAGCCCTAGAAATGAGAAATGATTTGGCCCATGTTATACAGAATGTACGCTCCTCGAGGGAAGAAGCTATTTTTGTTTTTGATTTGTAATTTCATTCATATCTCCAGAGTCACTGGCACCTAGTAAGTATCTGAGGTCAGATTTGATTGATCAATTATTACAAATATTTAATTGCTTATTTTATTGTATTGTAAAATCAAGGTTCCCCCCCACATCCTCATTGTGTATTATGTATTGTTATGGGCAGCTAGATGGCATAGTGGTTAGAATGCTAAGTTTGGAGTCAGGAAGACTCATCTTTCTGAGTTCAAGTCTGGCCTCAGACGCTTAATAGCTGTGTCACCTGGGGCAAGTCACTTAACTCTGTTTGCCTCAGTTTCCTTACCTGTAAGATGAGCTGGAGAAGGAAATGTCAAACCACTCCAGTATCTTTCCCTAGAAAACCCCAAGTGGGGTCATGGAGAGTCAGACATAACTGAAAACAACTGAACAACAACATGTAAGCCTACCTGGAATATGTTCCACTTCCAGTAAACTGTTGGCTAGACTGTAACTTCCTTGAGGGTAAGGACTGTTTCACCTTTGTCTTGGTGTCCCCAGCACATTGCATAGTGCCTGGTGCATTATCAGTTCTAAATTACTGTTGGTTGATCAAGTGCTTCAGATGGAGTTGCAAATATGAATATGTATTTCATTGTTTTTCTGTAAAGGGTGACATAGCTTCTCTTCACGCAGGGGTGGGGGTGTGGAGGGAGCAGCTCCTGAGGGAAACAGTAGGATAATTGTCTTTTGCTTCTTTGAATCTTTTCAGAGTTGAATCTTCCTGTTGTCCCTTCTGTATGTCTGAATGAGCACACACAGGTAAAACTGAGCACTTCAAACCATCCTTCAATGACAGAGAAGTCTCATGGGAAACACCCTGTACCTCTAAGGCCCTTATGGAACTGGCCTCGTCAGCTGTAAGTTCATCATCCTGAATTTTTGGGCCCAACCCGTAAGGAGTTGGAATACATAAGGAGGAAAATATATGTGGAAACCCCTAAACAGAGGGAATATATAAGGAGGAAAACACATAGTGGATTTGGAGAGTTGACTTGCTTGGTGTGAATTTATTTCATTCCTTAAACTTTTCAATTGTTGAGTACTTGTAAGAAGATGCTATCTTTGGTTTTCCTTTGAAGTTCACCTATCATAGGGTAAGCTTTGAGGTCGACAGGGCTTCTGATCAGTAAGATACCTTTAAGGAAGCTGAGTTAAAAAATTTCAAACTACATTTGAAAACTATATTTAAAAAAACCCTCTGATTATATAATCAAATGACATGTGCAGTTACCTTTGTCTAAGCCAAGCAGTGACATATAAGATAGATACCATGGTGATAGTGATAATGCCAGCTGATAAAGATATCAAACTTTATAGTTTTCAAAGCTTGTCATAGAAAAACAACCCTTTAAACACTACAAGAAAAGATAGCAACTTGCAGTTCTCTCTAGAGTTAAAAAAAAAAAAAAGACTCAAATTCTTGTCCAAGACTTAGAAACCCTTACCCCCTCTTTTTTTTTTTATCATCATTAAGCACCATTCCAGAACTAACTTGTATTCCCTAAGCAGCTGTGTACTTATAGGACTAGAACAGTACTCTGTTCTAGACTTTAAAATGTTCATTTTGAAATGAGGACAGTAGACAGTTGCATTTTTTAAAAATAAACAGTATAAGTAAAGAAAAAGTAGTTTATTGGATTTGGACATCTTTTGAGAACCTAGATTGTGAGGACTGTATAATTCTTTTTTCTCAAATGCCATTAAACTTGTATGCTATTTTCTTCTGACAGGGAAAATCAAATTTTCTTAATATTATATGCATTGAGCCAACTTAATTGCCTTGGGATGTTGGATGTTTCTACTGATGGATTTATCTAGAGGGTAGCCTGGAAATTTCTTGGTGACCTGAGGGAGCCAGAGAGAGACAGAGGGCCAGAGACAGAGGGCCAGAGACAAAGGAAGAAAATCTTTGTGAGAGAATATGCATACATATACATAATACACATATATGTAAATAAGGAGAGGATAAGAATTATTTGCCTAGAAGGCATACCAAATGGCTTGGAAGTATGCCTCACCTGTTATGTGATATGTAAATCAAACCCTGGTTTTATGGTTTGAGTAGATAATTGAACTTTAAAAAAAAAGTTTCATTTATTTATTTTTAACATTCATTTTAAAAATTTTGAGTTCCACATTCTCTCCCTCCCTCCAGCCCCTTTCCCACCAATTGAGAAGGCAAATAATATGATACCATTCTTCATGTTAGGTCATGTAAAACATATTTCCATATTAGACATGTTGCAAAAAAAAAAAAGCAAGAAAAATAAAGGAAGTGAAAAACAACATGCTTCACTCTGCACTCAGAGTTCATCAGTTCTCTCTCTGGAGGTGGATAACATTTTTTATCCCGAGTCCTTCGGAGTTGTCTTGGATATTGATTAGAATAGATAAGTGTTTCATAGTTGATCATCATTATGATATTGCTATTACTGCATATAATGTTCTGGTTCTGCTCATTTCACTCTGTATTAGTTCGTGTAAGTCTTCCCACGTTTTTCTGAAACTGTCCTGCTTGTCATTTCTTATAGCACAATAGCATTCCATCACAATAGCATTCCATCACAATCGCATACCACAGTTTGTTCAGCCATTGCCCAATTGATGGGCATCCCCTCAATTTCCAATTCTTTGCCACCACAAAAAGAATATAGTCACTCTTTCAAATTCTTTGGCTTGTCAAAGAGAGGACAAGGGAGAAAGGAAGGGAGAGAATTTAGAACTAAAAAAATTTTTAAATGAATATTAAAACTTTTTGTTTACATGTAATTGAGAAAAAATTAAATTAAATTAAAAATTGGTGTATGTAGGTCCTTCTTCTGTTTCTTTTATCTCTTTGGGATACAGACCTAATAGTTACATTGCTGGGTCAAATTGTATGCACAGTTCTATAAGCCGCTGTGTATAGTATGTATAATTGAAATGTAAAGATATTCCTCAAACCTTATTTTAGCTCACACACATCATTTTTATCAAATTTATCATCTGTAGAAAAACTGAGGAAAGTTTGTCTCTTCTATCTCTCACTGTATACCCTCTGGTGGTGGTGCTAACAAGTACAAACGTTGGTAAAAGTTAGACTCCACTTGAAAGGTAGAAGGCAGTTAAGAGCCTAAATCAATTTACAAATTGCTAATCAGCCTCTACTAATCAGGAATTTATTATTTTTGCTTTTCAGGAATCAAACACCAGCCCCTGTGATGACACATAAGCAGCCTTTTAAAGCCAAAGATTTGTCTGTGATCATTAAAGCATATGTATTGGTGACATCTTTAACACCTCTGCGGGCCTTCATTCATTCAACTGGTACCATTTGGAATCCACCCAAGAAAAAACGTTTCACTGTCAAGGTAGCATTTCTTTTAAAGCTGTTATTTTATGCAAAGTGAACTGAACAAAAGTAAAGCTATGTGAATGATCTTTCTCTGACCTTTATGATTATCAATTCCCATTGAACAGAAAATCAACCTTTTTATTTCTGCAAGCAGAGAATTTCATTTAATAGAACCAGGGACCATTTCAGAAATTACCTGGAAAGTGTCATTCACTAGGGACTACAAGGGCTTTATTTATTTTTTCCCTAAACTCATCATTTTAGTTCAGATTTTTGACTTGTCACAGAGATTACCTCTCAGCCCTATGGCTGATATCTCTTAAAAGAGAAGTCATCAATATTGCAAAATAAAAGTAGAATTCTCCTCCTTTATCAATTCTGCATAGTAGCCTGCATAGTAGGAAACACAGTGACTGTATTATTATAATTATGAGTTTAAAACATGCATGGAACATTAAAGACATGTAGTGTCTTGCCCTTCAAGGACAGTGGAATTACACATATAAACTTTAAAATTAGTACCCCGTATGCTACCTGAAGAAGTGATATGGTCCTGAAGAAAATAAAGATGGGAAAAGCAGCTAGACAAGAAGAAGTATACAGAGAGAAGGTTCTTAAAACAATTTTGAGAATATTGTGAAATCTGTGCTTAAGATGTATTAAATAATGCCAAAGGTATAGGAAAATCTCTGACACTATTACTTTAAAAGGCAACCAAAAAACATCAATAACTATGATTACTTTTCCATTCACAAAAAAAAATTTGTAAGATGATAATCTACACTCTATCAATTACATTCTTGAGTGGAGTATCAGAAGGAGATAAGCAGGCTTTCATAGGTGATATTCCACAGCAGACCACATCTTTACTACAGCACAATTGACTGAAAAGCATAAAAAATACAAAATCTTATTATGTGTACTTTTTGTTGACTATAAAAAGGCATTGGATTTTATAGAGTAAAATCCCACCTATGGGCTTTTCTTCAATAAGATATTTCCCATGAAGATGTCAAACTTATATATGATTCCTTGAAAGATGTTTAGTCATTCCCCAATTGACAGGAATTCTCTTAGTTTCAAGTTCTTTACCACCACAAAAAGAACTGCTATAATTATTTTATACATATGGCTATTTCCTCTCTCTGATATCTTTGGAACATAAGTCTTATAGTGATATTGCTCGGTCAAAGATATGTAGCAATATAAGTAACTTTGTTCTCGGAAGCTCTGATTGTTAATATTAAACCAATAATAAAACTGGAAGATGAACCCTCACCAAAGACACTTTCTACTGTTATGGAAGAGGTCTAGTGTAAAGTCCAAGTTAAAGTAAGATTTCCAATATTTTGTGAGAACCCTCTCTGGCAATGCTTTTTCTTCTTATTTTTTTATTATATTGGATTTATTGCTTAAAGCCCTAGAATATTACATAGTTGCCTATGTGAGATCCATGGTCATAAAAAAGAGTTTGGATTAACAAAGCCAATTGGATGATGAATACTTGTCTAGATTATAATATGCGGCTAGATGGATAATTTATAATCTTGTGCAAACAGATAAGAGAAAGAAAATTATCTATATATATATCTAAATTCACAGCTCTTTTGAGATATAGATAGATCTAAAGAAATAGATTAATCTATGGATAGAGATTAATGCATATCTATAGATATAGAGATATAAATGTACATTAATAGACAAAAGTATTTTGTTTGTTGTTGTTTAGTCATTTTTTTAGTCATGTCCAACCTTTCATGACTCATTTTGGGGTTTTCTTGGCAGAGATAATGGAGTAACTTGCCATGTCCTTCTCCAGCTCATTTTATAGATTGAGAACTGAGGCAAAAAAGGGTTAAGTGACTTGCCCAGGGTCATACAACTGGAAAGTGTCTGAGTCTGGATTTGGGCTCAGGTCTTCCTGACTCCAGGCCTGGTGCTCTATTCACTGTGCCACCCAGTTGCCCTAGATATAGGTATAGGTATTGATATATAGATAGACATAGAAATAGATATAGACATAGAGAGACATCATGAACTGGTACCATAATTAAACAGGAGAAAGTAGACAGGATTGTTTTGGGGCAATTGTATTATATTTTAGCGACCCAATTTTTCCCTAACATAATGTATGACTCTTAGTCATAGAATACTACAATCACCAAGGAACTAAAGTTGAAAAAGCAGTAGAGGTGCATGGTGAGCATGATCAGACTACAATATGTTATGAATTAGGCATTATGCAGAAAGTGTTATAAAGATGACTTCAGAAAAATGTATGACTGAAACGAAAGACTAGCCCATAGTAAAAATGAGGAAAGCTACTGCACTGCTGGAATATTTACTTCATTTATACTGAAAAAGTCAGTATAATATAAAGATGTCCCTCAGAAGTTTTGATGGATGTCTTTTGCTGAATCTGTTGGTGGACATGAGTGATAGCTATACCAGATGGGTATTTGTTGAATAGGTTACAGTTTGCATAGTAGGAGGGAAATCCACATTGATGAGATCACAGATCCATTTGAAGTATTGAATGTCCTGCCCTGGATGAATGCTTCATAAATATTCAGTTGACCTGACTTGATTTCCTAAATTGTTAACATAATTTGCCATGATTTTGAAGAGGATGGAAATGTTTTCAAGGAGGAGATAAGTAACCATTCAATAATTATTTAAACTCAGAAAAAGCCAGATGACTTCAACTGAAAAAAAGTTTAATAGATACATTTTTAATAGATAAAAGGGGGCTATGGGTTCCACACAAGTGAAGCTGCCAAACATGAGGAATAGAAAATGAAGAGTGCATGATTGTCACTGTCTCAAGGCAGAGCTCAAAAGGCAATGAACTTGATCGTTTGGAAACTGACTATGTTTAAATTTTAAGTCCTCAATTAAAAACTTTCAAAATTTCAAAATAAGCAGATCTCCTAGAAAATTTCTTCTGAGATGCAGAGCTAGCTTTGCTGGTGTTTACCCAGCAAACCCAGGAATCATAATTTGGCTTCCTTTTTAAAAGGAGATGTGGATGTCTCCAACAATGGAAATGTTTTCTTTTCATTTTCAATGGAAGAATGGAGTGTAATAGTGTCCTTCATTCCTTCCCCAGGTTGGGAATCTTTTGTGTGATTTTTTCCCAGCTAGTCTTTTAAGGAGTTGCAGTTGGTAATTTGTATCTTGTTGTTTTTCTCCTCACTTCTATTTTCCTTAATGCTTTTCTTTTACTTTGTTGTCTGTAAAAACAAAGCAAAAAGCAGTAAATTTTGTGGACCCGTTCCTTCAAGAGGAAACAAAAATATATAAGGCTTTCGATATTGTGGTTGCCCTTAGATGTTCATTCTTTATTCACTACGTTGTTTCTTATTCATCATTTTTTAGTACCTGTGGGACAAGTGCCAGATGTAGTGGTGGTACAGAAAATTATGCAAATCTCCTCATTCCTTTCCTCACTTTGGGATTTGTATTTTCCAGGGCAAGGCTGACATTTCCTGTATATTACGGTAAGCCTGCTGTCGAAGGGAGACTGCAGACAGCAGGTTTCTACGGTAAATGAGCAAGAGGGCAATTATTTCCTTAAAATGCCAGAATCCTACTTGATGCTGTAGATAGGCTTCTAGCATATAGGAAATATTTCATTCACACTCCAGTATTTATTGCTTCTGCTAGAAAACTAGCTTTTACTTGGTCTCATTTAAATCACCCGTTCTTCCTTCCAAACTGCTTCTTCTGGGTACCTTCAGGGGAAAAAAAATATAGCAGAAACATTTTTGAAAGACTGGTTTTTGGAAGAAAGACTAACACTCCTCTTAGGCTAACCAGGTTATGTCAGGGCATTAGTAAATGCAATTGTTATGTTTTGAGGAAGATAATTTGACCCCAAATATATATAAAATCTTGCAATAATGAGCTATGCCATTACTATTTAAGTATATAGCAGTTTGGTTTGTGACTTTATCCCCTTCTCTAATGAGTCCTGAATTCAAAGGTCCAGGTTACTAGTTAGATCAGTAGGGGTTTATGTGCTGCCTGCACTGAGGCAAGCCTGCTAGGCAGGTTATCATTGGCCATTTGTAGAGCATTCTGGCAGCTGAAGGAGGAATGAAAGCAATAACAGATATAACTATGAGCTCATTTATTTCCAATCAGGTCTGCTGCTGTGATACTTTATCTTTGAAAGCTTTAGTGGGAGTTGGGAAAATAGGAAGAATTATTGGTACAGTGATATGAATTTAAATATAAATTTGGAAAATGATGGGGAAAAGGACTACATTTAACTAAATGTTTAAAAAATACTCTAAACCCAACATCCTATGTATATAAAATGAAAAGGATTAAGAATTTGAGAGTTAGCTGTTTTTCTGAAGGGCATGTTAATGTAAAAAAGAAAATTAAAGCACAAGCTATGTCTTAGAATATGTTTACTGTAGTTTATGATATAATATCAAAACATATTTCTTTTTGCAGCTTCTTTGAGGTTAGAAAGGATGCTATATTATCTCAGTGGTGGCTATGATGACTCCATTTTTATTTTATTTATTCAATAATTTGATGAATAAAGCATATTTTCCAAAGTAGAATATTCAGGTTATTTCTATAGCTACAGCAGCGGCAGAATCATCCCAAAGGCCACTTTTGACCATTTGATTAAAGATTGTCCCAGGGTTATAATCAAACTTGGCACTTGGGGGTGCTTGGATCCAAGCTGGAATCTTTGGAGCACCACTTCATATTAAGTGGGACTACTAGTCCCATAAAAATGTCAGTGAGAATCTAAATGAAAGAGAAGCACTGCCGCCAGTATCATAGTCTTAAACTCTGTGCCCTTAAGCAAAAATGTCAGAAAGCAGAACCTCTTTGCCCTTTGTTAGCTGCAAAATGAACAAATCTCTAATGAAGAGGCCAGTTTTGTGACCTTCTCCCACAATTGATGGGCTATCTGGTCAGCATTCATACCTGTGACTAGAGTTGATTACTTTGCCTGAAAATTATAGCAGGAATGATTTCAGATTTCTGCTG